AAAATGCCTTCCTGTCATTTCTCAGCCTTCCCTGCGCTGCTCAGCTGGGATGTTAAAGATCGAGGTTTAATGAAAGAAGGTGAGAAGGTGAACAACAACAAAAAAAGCCCTAATGAGCGTATGTTTAGTTATATGGAAAGATCACTGAGCAGTGGCAGTGATTTTCTTTGTGCCTAATATAATTCAGTGTCTCCCAAGGTCAAAGAAGCCCATGGCCCTTACTTCTTCACCTGTCCCTTCCCTACCCTGGCAACCAGCTTCTCCACCTAGAGCAGGTTTCATGAAATTTAATTTTTGATGGTGGAGTGAGAAAAGATCTCATTTTCCACCACCAACTTGCGGTTCTCGAGAAGGACTAAGAAGCGGTGCGGGAGGTTGTCTCAGTCGCTTGCCTCACCGGTGGATCATCTCACAAGCAGGCATTCGGACCTCACGCTGCAGACGACAGAGCCCCAGACCAGTCTCCAGGCTCACTGACAAGTATGTACCCTCTAGACTGGGAATGCAAAGGCAAATCCCCATCTAGTGATGTAGAGCCACTGAAAAACAAAATGCTTTAATGCTTCGAAGGAGAGCCAATAACAGCTGTTGAAACTCTAAAGCAATGCTCCGAATTAGAATGAAATCGTGCAGTCATAATATCATTCCGAAAATGTCTTTAATCAGCGAGCGTTCCAGCCCCGTGGTGTGAGCATCGCACTGAAAATATCAAATAAAACATGAGGGCCAAACTTGGACTGAACCCCCAAAACTCTACCAGAGAGTGATGTTTTTGCTTCACCAGTTCCTAAACCAGGAAATCATTACTCATCATCCGCAACAGACCACCCATGTGGGGAGTGAGAGAGAGGCACGACAACTATGACAAGTGAACAACAACAAAAAAAGCCAACCTTGAAGCGCAGCTTTAGGATCAACAGCTATGTCACTGAGGCAGACGTGTGTCCCTCATGCTTTATGTCCAGTGTAACTATTAACACTTTGGTAGGCATAAATTGAGATCCTTCTTTGAAGTTGAAATATGAAGTCTTAACTGTGCTCTCATCCTCTACATTTCAGAGTGAATAACCCAAATTACATAGAACGGCAGCAAATTGGCTCATCATAGGCCTGTTCTAATTTTAAAAAGATAAAGAGCTAAAAAACCAGACAACTGAACACTGACGGGACTAGCAAAGCCTGGTAAGGGACTGCCAGGGTCTTTCCCTAAAAGGTCATGGAATCAAATTCGACCTAGCTTTGTGGTGACCAAGGGCCATTTAACATTTTGTGTTAAATTTATATGTGCCGGCAACATGATGTTCCTAATAGGGCTGCTGACAGCTTGCATTTGTCATTCTTGCTCTCTCAGGAGTATAGTGGATGGCCAAGCGCGTGTGGAAACTAAATCATCTCCTCCCAAGTAAAGGTGATCCTTGCAAAATGTGAACTCCAAGGCACTGACGAGCATATTGCCTTCACACTGCCTGCTGTTTGCCCCTCTTCCAGCTGCCCCCATCTAAGGGAAGCATACTGCAGCTCTTTGATTGCCAGTCTAAAACCCTGACAAAATTTTAAAGACGTGCAAGCAGGCCCACAAAAATGGTATTTGTCAAACAACATAATAACTCTCTCGGTTTTGACAAAGCATTCACTTGTGGTGATAAAATGCCAGGTTACAAGTCAAAGTTTTACTCCATTACTGAGCATTATCCTTGAGCTCTAAATGGAAAGTCAGTATAATTCACCAGCTGCCAGACTCCAATTCCCTGCCACCACCACCATCCTGAATGACAACAGGGTAATAGGCGGATAGCCCCGGAGCCACTGCTGGAATAGATTTTGAATGACGGGCTCTGTCCTTAGGTCACTTTGACCAATCCACAGATTGCAAGTCATCCTGATCCCAGGTTTCTGCTTGGAATTTCCTAGAATTCAGTGAAGAAATAAACCCGCCATCAATCCAAAGAGATTTGAGATGACTTAGAGATATGTGTGATAATTAGATGGTGCCTCTTTATGAAAAGACAAAAGTTGGCTGAGTTGAGATATGAGATTTCCATGAAGTACCTTCCACAGGCTGTAAATGGGTCCCACCTTCAGATTTGAGGCTGACCACCACAAGAGTATAGAGCAATCTGTGGGAGAGTGCTCTGTTGGGGTGCGTCAGTGTGGTCTAGCTGAGTGATGCTAAACAGCTCTGCCCAGCTATAGGGGAGGGTGTCGGTACCCAGGTGAAAAGCCTGCTGCCTAAAAACATTTGAGAAGACCAGCTCCCCCAGGCTTCTTGTGACTGAAGGATGTCCTTTTCACCAAAAGAGAAAAGAGCTGTCTAGGTCCGTTCTTTTAATTATGAGCAATCATTTGAACCTGTGCTACCAGGCAGTGAAGAGACTTGAAAGTTATTTCTTGTTATTTCAAGTCTTCTGCACACTTGGGAAATCAGAATCTGGGAAGTCACAAGGAGGGCCAAATTTTGCAAATATTTCCTCCTGTCAACAGGAGGGAGGTGAGGGTAAATCCAACAGCCATGACCCCTAAAAGAAAAAAGCAACAGACATTGAAGCCTCCTCCCCCTCCCTTTAAATCTCCAGATAACACTGTCTGTGTGCAGAGGTGGGCTAAGGATGGCTGAGTAGAGCCTGCCGGAGGTCCAGCAACAATCTGACACCTATCCACCTCTGTCTGGATCATTCTTCCATCTACCGATGGGTCCATCAGATCTTTGCTGATAACCTTTTCCATTTACCTACCTAGTAGAACGTGATCATTTCAGCTGTGGACTCTATTTCAAAGGGCCATTTGCCTGGTGGGAAATACTTTCTCTAGCCTAAAGCGGTTTACTTTTCAAAGATTGAACTAGCTATCTGCAGGCAGTCTTTAGGATTTGGCTTGATATTTCCAAAACAAATTCACAGCCTTCTCTCCTCCAAGGGCCTTGAACCCACCAATCTGCAGCTTCCTGCCCACCAGTTTTCCTTCTTTCCTCGAGAGGCCTGCTGTCCCGGTTCTCACCACGTAGTCCAAAGACGGGGCCCAGATATATTACGATTGTTGTTGGGCTGTGGTCAGGGAAGGGAGGATGGTGGAGGTCTGTAAAAGAGGGAAGTGCGGGATGATGTCTGGGACAGACCTTGCCGCAAAAGTGTCATGAAAGGAACGCCAAGGCGGCCAAGAAGAGGAGGGCCGGGAACCGAACCAAGTGCCTACGGTGGGGCCCCTGTGGCCCGTGGCTGTGACGTGGCTCCGTCAGGTGGAAACCGTGCGGTCCTCTCCCGACCCAACTCACAGGAGATAAAGATGTCTAAATAACCACGACCGCCGCCGCCACGGCCCGGCCCTGGCCTCGGGGGCGAGGGGAGGGAGCGCCTTCTCTGCTGAAGCAGCGGCTGGGACTTGTTTGTAGGTTCGCAATTCACCATGATAAATGTAAAGACCAATTAAGGTTTGATCCGTGCACACGGGAGGCAGACGGCGGCTGATAGTGGAACCAATTAACGAGCATGTCCCCTAATTCCTGCCGCGGCCGCGGAGCGCACCGCCGATCCCCAGGCGCCCGCGGCGGTCGCCCCCGAGCCCTGAGAGCCCCCCGCCCGGCGAGAAGGTGCGAGGAGCGGGGCCGGGGAGGCAGGGGAGGGGGCGCGCAGGCCAGCGAGGCTCGGAGCCAGCCGCCTACGGAGCCCAACTGTTTGCAGCCGGGGACTGGCGGGTGGGGCGATCCCGAGTGGTCGCGCCGGGCAGGGGCGGCGGGGGCTGGAGAAGGCGCCAGCGCCAAGCTGGGCGGCGCCCCGAGGGCGGAGGACAGGTGGCCGCCAGGCCACAGCCAGGTAGCAAACGGCTCGGGGGCTGCGCAGCACTGTCCCAGGATTTCTCCTGCTCCCGGGCCCAGCTCGTTGCTGACCACAGCGGGGGCGGCGTGGGATGGAGGAAATGGGGCGCGAGGCCGCAGCCCTCGGGCCCAGCGCGCCTCGGCCTCTCCCCTCCAGCTCCCCTTCCCCTTCCGGCACAGCCCGCTGCCCCAGACGTGACCCCCGGCACAAGGTGTTGGCGCTGCGCGCTGCCGGGGCGCGCGTGATTAATGGCCCCGAGGTCGGGGGCGGTGCAGGCACGAGCCCCTCTTTGCCTAGGCAGGGTGTGAGGGTATCCGGGAGGAGAGCGGGGTCATGGCAGCGGGGGTCCTCGGGAGCGCTGCAGCGGAGGAGGAGGAGGAGGAGGAAGCGGAGGAGAACTAGGTGACGCGGGCCAGAGAGGCTTGTCCCCTCTGGCCCCAGGGCGGGCGCAGCCGCGGGTGCCCTGCGCCAAGCAAAGTTTGGAGCCGCGGGCGCGGCGCGCAGGTCCCTCCCCGCGCAGTTCCCTCGGCGGGGTCTGTGTCGCCGCCGCGGCTGCCAGGGCAGGACAAAGGCTCATTAACACGTGATGGGACCGCGCTTCATAAATGGGACTGGAGCGAGAGGGAGCCAGAGACAGAGCGCGAGCGGAGGGAGAGGAGGGACCGCGCGAGCGGGGCGAGGCGACGGGCGCCCGGGCTGGCGGAGTCGGCGGCCCCACGCCGGGCCAGGCGTGGCTAGCGGGAGGACCCAGTGAAGAGCCCGGGAAAGGGGCGAGACTCGCTGGCGGCCGGAGCGCAGAGGGCGCCAGTCCCGGTCGCTGTCGCGGGCGGGCGCTGGACACAGGGGACGCCGGCGCGGACCGACTGACTTACTGACCGAGCGCCAGAGGCACACCCCGCTCCACCCCACCCGCTGTGCCCGCGTCCCGGCGCCGGCGCCGCCTCTCCCCCGCTACTCCCTCTGCCACCCCTTCCTTCTCCACTTCTTTTCCGCCTCCGCCTCTTCTTGGCTCCCGCGGCGCCTGTGCCTTCCCCTGGCCCGGGCGGGGCGCCTCGGCTCCCTGCAGAGCTCTCCGTAGTCAGGGGGGACATTGCTTTTCGTTCTAGCAGCGAACCAGCCCCTGAGCTGGGCGAGAGGTGCCGAGGGAGCTTCTGCCCCGAGGACCGGGGGATGCGAAGGGTAAGACGTGGCAGAGTTGCGTTTGGAAATACTTTTTCCGCCTCCCGCCCCCTCGGGTACTGACCAGTGTGGTCCCCAAGTGTCCTTCGTGGAGTTCTTATTCCGTGTGAGCGAATCGTGTGTTGGTGTTTACTTAGCTGTGTAGCCCCAGCCTGTTAACTGTGGTCCGAGCTACTTCTGGAGGTTTCTACCATTTACTATTTACTGAATGTGTGTGCACCTGGCTCTCTGTATGCACTGATGTCTGTGGGAAACGTGTACGTGTGCATGTTTGAAACAACAGGCTCGTGAGTTAATGCTTAATGTCTATAACCCGTATCAGCAACTAAGTCTTCCCAGAGAAATACATCGATCTCTGCACCAAACCTAGAAACTGACTAAAGTAAGATATTAAATGGCATGTAAAGAAACGTATATCAGATAATAAACTTTTGATATAGAAAAAGATAGCTGCAGGAACCACTTCTCCTTGAGGAAAAACAAATGTGCATTTAACTAATACCTAAATCTGAATGTTGATGGAACCATTTAACTACTCAGAACTAGCCATTAGACAAATAAAGTTGATGTTGCATATTTTAAAGACATTTCTTGCTAAAATGCACACATCATAAATGGATCACCTTCTGAATGCAAATGTGTTTGCTGTGATAGAGGTGAGAAACTGTCATTTGGTCATTTGAAAGTTTAAAAGCGACATGAATGTTTCTAATGGTAATAGATTATTTCTCTGAGATTTTAAATTGAACAGATGAGAAAGGCAAAAAAATATTTAGTAACCTATTAATCATTTTGCCTCCCATCTTTTTTTGTTTTCCTCCAAATAAGTGCTATTCTTGCCTTTGTTGTTGATTTCTTGATATTTTAATCCTCCTCAGGCATTTAATCCAATAAGAGATTAGAACAGATTTACTGGTTTTAAAGGTGTTGAAAGATATCTCTATGGGTCCCATAACTTCTCATTTTTATTACCAAGTTAATATCTTTTGAACAATGGAGGAAATGCAATTTCTTAGAGGAAACTCAGTGGACATTGAGTATCAGTGGTGTCACCACTGACATCAATCTATTTTGCAGAATATTGAGAAGCTTAGAGCAACCAACCTTTAAGGTTCCCATAGGACTTTGTCTGATTTAAAGTGTTGCTTTTCTAATCCCACCCTACTGACAGTTTGCAAGGGAAGATATACTGATTGATTTTTTTCCTCTGTCCTTTTTTTTCCCTTGGTACTCCTTCCCCCTCCCCCTTCCCTCCCAACTCAGTTAAGAGCAATTTTATAAAAATAAAAGGTCATATATAGTTTCTAAAGTGAGACAAATTATTTTCTGATTATATCTATACATGAACAGAAGACATGCACCTCTAGAATTTTAAGCATTGCGTACTGCAGGTGATTATTGGCAGGCACAATGGCAGTTACCATAGTTGAACAAGAGGCTTGATGTTGGACATGATTTTAAAAAACTAATCCATTTTAGGCTATCAGGAGAACTTACTGTAAATGGACTCTTTTTGTTTCAAAGATGTCTCCCACTCCAGGCGAGGAGCAATCTTGGCTGAGGTATGTATCAAGTGTCTGGTGGGGAGAGGTCTCATTGTGTTCCTAAGTCTCTGTAGGGGTAAAATGATGCCACAGGGTGGAAATCCTCAGGTCTGACCTTTCAAAAATAAAATTACTATGCTTGCATACTCGTTGTTAGGAAGGCCAATTAGATATTCATGCCCCTGAATTTTAATAGCATTAATATATATGTATATAAAAAGAATGTTATGACTAGAACCTTAAATATGCCATGGGTGGTATTATTTAATTTAGTGTGTAAAGTTTTAAATTCTGGTGAAAATCAGATCTCACATTGGAGTACTGCTTGGCTTTGTTTGTTATCCACTGTTTTCTGTCTTTTTCTGTTACCCTTTTCCCAGTGGACTGTGTTCCTCTCTGTCTTGCCAGTGAGATTACTCTTCTCTAATAAGCCTAGCTGCAGGATCAGTGTGTTCTTTTTGGCATTTCAAAATGTTAAAATAGTGAAATTGTTAAATGTTACCAAGACGAAACTGCTGGGAATGAAATTCTCCAAAAGAACCACTATATTTGTGGCATATTACAGTCTATTCCAAAAGAAAACTCCTTGAATTGGTTTACCTATTTCTCAAGAAGGAAGCAGCCCCATTGATTGTGTTGATAAGTGTTTAGTATGCAGTGTCAGCTTATTAATTACTAAGGCAAAGCCTGAGAAACTCTTTCAAAACAATCCTGTGACATTTTTCTTTGCTTTGACTCAGAATTAACATTAACCACCAGAAAATTTAGACAGGTTCCTTTGGTTGTCTTGCATATTAGTGTTTGGAATTAGAATTGGAATACTTTGCTGTGTAAGAATAAACTATTATGAAATGGAACTTATAATAGCAGTTTATAGTTCACCACGCTTACCAAATGTTTCTTATCAGAAAACAGTTGGCCTTATAAGGAACAGGATTATTTCCCATAACTACCTATCTAGGAATGCTACAAAAAGGAGTAACAAATTGAATTTGGAAATACCTAACAGGGCATAATTAGCAAAATGAGATTTGGTTATAGCTTCTTGAATTTGGTTAATAAGATGGAGCCTGTCCTTTAGGTTGCTGCCTGGCATTCTTGGGATAATTATGTTAGCTCAGTTGCATAAAGAACACAGATGAGAGCTTTCATTCCCTGCTAAAAAGGATGCCATATCTCCACCAGTGTAAGTCTGTCTCTTCTATTTTTGTATTCATCATTTTCTAATTGAACTGACAAATAGTTAGAGTGAAACCAGCCTTTGGTTTTAAATTATTTATAATTCTGCTTTTGACTCTGAAGCAACCTGGACCCAACATTGAAAGACTGTGCTAGGACCAGGTTTACCTATTGCATATGTATATTTAGAGAAATAGCCAGCTCTGCTGATTTTTCTCTCATTGACTTAAGGCTGGTAGCGAACTTAATAAGAGGAGATTAAAATCAATTCATATACTTTGTATTGGCAAAATTTTAACTTCATAATTTGCCCTCTGAATCTCCAGTTCTTTTCTAATCTCTTCTCATAAAAATGGTAACTTTGTATTATAACTGCGTGAATGCTGTTTTGAGGGAACTGGGGGATTCAACACTTTGCCACTGAATTGTTATTTAATTCTTTGATAATCATTTGATAATTTAATAATCATTTAATTCACTTATCTGTATATTCTTAGATTAGATTGGATTAACTTTGTAACATAGATCAACTCAGATTCCTTCAAAATATTTTCTGGACTAAAAGAAACAATAAATGTCATCCAGAATATATATATATATATATATGTGTGTATATATATATGTATATATATATATATATAATCAAATTATATACTGCATAAATTTAAACAACTGGATGTATAAATGCACCTTTATATGCATGTATAAACAAACTTTTCCACAAATGTAGATCATGACTGAAATAAAAATTTAGATAGTCATCCTTATGTATTTAAATATATAATTCTGATTTTAAATAAATACTACATAATTGGCCAACTAATATATATAGAAAAAATTAGCCAGGCATGGTGGCGCATGCCTGTAGTCCCAGCTACTTGGGAGGCTGAGGCAGAAGGATTGCTTGAGCCCAGGAGTTTGAGGTTGCTGTGAGCTAGGCTGACGCCACAGCACTCACTCTAGCCTGGGCAACAAAGTGAGACTCTTGTCTCAAAAAAATAAATAAATAAATAAATACTACAAATTTGGGCAAATATCCAAGCAGCTGTGCAGATGGACACTGAAGACTCAAGACCAAAGGAAGTATTCACCTTGAATCAAAACAAGGCTATTCTTGTTTTCCAGGATAGGTGGAAATCCATTCCAGTCCCATGTGTTCTAAGAATCTTCCAAATATGCCAGGATGAGCATCAGTACATTTGATTATAGTTTTATCATAAACACTGAGGAGTTTAAGTTAGTTTTTACAAGTCTTGCTAGTTGTTTGTTATTTTTAGAAATTAGAGCTATGCAAGTTGGAAGAAAATATAGAAGATTATTACCATATCACAAAATGCATATCAAGATATTTATGTTATATATAACACATTATAATGCTATCACAAGTAAGTTAAAACTTTAGGAAATTTGTTAAGGGTGTGGGGAAAGGCAGGTTGTTTTTAGTAGACCCTATCACTGTCCTTGCTACTATTCAAACTGATGTTAGATGAACTTCTATCTTAAACTTGCCCACATGGATAATAGATACGTTTATGACACATCAGTAATAATAGGTCAAAGCCATTACATAAAGTAATCAGTGTGATTGCCTCTAGTTCTTAACATAAAATATTTACTAAAAGCTTTCCTGGGTCATATTTCTTCACTAAATAGGGTGCCTCATGAGGAAATACAGTACATTTCATTATAATACTTTTGCTACGACAGTTAACTGCATGTACAAATATATTCTTGATCTAGTTTTCACTGATGTTTTCTGTATATTTGAAGTATTTTCCATATAGATTAACAATGTTGGGATATCCTCTAATTTAAAAGTTTCACTTGGACATGTTAATTTAATAACATAGTGGCCATGGAATTCTTGAGGTCCATAGATGTGTTTGTATGGGCTTTCGAGGGAAGAATTGTTTACTCCCTAAACCTGAGTACCCGGGCCTGGCAGAGTCACCGCTGTTGTTCTGGAAATACTATGAATTCTGTTTTAGCCCCAGCTGGAGAAATTTTCACACCTGCACTTTAGGAAAGCTTTCAAAGTTTTTTCTTTGTTTTGTTTTCTTTTGTTTTTTCAACATATGAGTTGAGACTGGTTAGATGGGAACCATTGTTTTTTAGCCAACTCTTTTTTTAACCCATTGTGCTATGGCATTATATCCTATATTTTTGAATAAGTTTCCTAAAGTAGATTTTACATTCTTTGAATGTAACAGGGGATTTAAGTTCCCTTTTCTCCTAACACAATTGGCAAAATATTTTTTTCCTTAAGAGCACATTTTATTATTTAATGCCTTATTTTTTCACTCTTTGGATTCTTAATTGTTTAGAGTTTGGATTCATTGAATAGAGATTTGATATCTTTGGCTTGACCTTACTACCACTATCAGTTTTGAATAATATTTTAAATTTTTTTTTATTTCAGCATATTATGAGGATACAAGTGTTTAGGTTAGGTTATATTGCCCCCCCCCAATCAGAGCTTCAAGGGTGTCCATTCTCCACACGGTGCTCATCTCACTCATTATGTTTATATATACCCATCCCTTCCTCCCCCCTCCCATCTGGCTGATGCCCAATGAATGTTATTCCTATCTGTGCACTTAGGTGTTGATCTGTTAATACCAATTTGCTGGTGAGTACATGTGGTGCTTATTTTTCCATTCTTGGGATACTTAGTAGAATGGGTTCCAGCTCTATCCAGGAAAATATAAGAGGTGCTATATCACCATTGTTTCTTATAGCTGAATAGTACTCCATAGTTAATTTTTTAACTTCAGGAGATAAAGTGCAGTATAGTTTCCTAAATTTGATAATATAATATCTATTTTTTTCCTACTAGCAAATTCCATGCTATTGCTTTTTAAAGAAAAGCAGAGGCATTTTTCAAAGATGTGCCAGGCAATCTGTTGTGGTAGTTTAGTATACTGACAAATGCTTTCACAAACTGTGTATGTCTATAGTATATTTAAATGCAATTAAAATACAATATAATTAGGAAGTTATGTTTTCCAAAGTTTATGTTTAAATGGGAGAGTTCCTCTCTTTCCTTCATCATTTCTTCATCCATTTCTTAGACTACTATCTTTAGAAAAGAAAATTGGAATTGATATGAGTTCTGCAAATTGAGTTAAGTTATAAGGAATGTTATATTCCAGCTGGTGATAAATTCTAGCATGCTTTTTTAAAAAAAAATTTTAAGTTTGTTTTAAATAAATTTCTACTTAAATGGACATTTGTACTAAGTAATTTCACAACATTGATTTCTGTTGGTCAAGAGGCTAAAACTAATGTTTTTAATATAGCAAGTAAACCAATATCATTGATCTCCCAAAAAATGATTATTTAGGTAGTATGCATTTATCACTTTGTTTGCTTTTAACTCATCTATATTTAATAAGAAGGACTTAATTTAATGTCACTGTGATCTGAGTATTTGGGTTTATTCTATGGTGGCTGATTAAATAGATGAGATTTTCAACTAATTTAAATATGTTGCTACCAAAATTTATAAATATTTTCTCTACATTTTGTACAAGTTGTGGTGAGCAAGCAATATGTATATAGAGAAGAAGGAAAAGTGGACAATTTAACATGTAACTAAAGGAAGCTAAGCAATGGGTTGTCCAGAGAATTCTGTATCTCTGAGTACGTGAACGTTTGACTTTCGAAAATATATGCTACTTTTGGAAATGACGTCAAACTTGTTATAAATAAGAAAGGGCAAATCTTTGAATGATTTTAGTCCACAACTAAGGTAACTAATTATGAGTAATCTGTGATCCATTTTTATTGATGAAATAATTAGAGAGGGAACAGTTTGCCCAGAGTCATACATTTAAGTG